TGGGAGGTGAGGGGGGCAGAGTGGGGAAGGTAGGCTTTAGGGGCGTCTATTGGTGAAGAAGTGTGGGGAGGACACAGACACAGAGATTCAAAGCATAGAAAGGTGGATGCAACAGAGAAACAGGGGTAGGGAGAACCTGGGAGCGGAGACACGGAGTTGGGGGGAGAGGTTGGGAAGACAATCAAAAAGAGACAGACAGGGAGAAATGGGAACCAAGAGAATTATATAGAGTGAAGGGGACTGAGCAAGGCACTTGCTGTGTGCTGGAATTACCATGAGAAAGAGCAGACCCTGTCCTCATGCAGCTCGTCCTCCAGCAAGACATCAAACACACAAACAGGGAACGATAAAACAATGCACAAGTGCAGAGAGAAGGGGACTCAGGGAGTTATCGAAAGTAGCACAGAGGCTGGGCATCTAAACCAGCCGGGTGACAGTCCAGGAAGGCTTCCTGGAGGAGGCAACATCTGAGGAAAGAATGAGGAAGAGTCTGGTAGGTGCTGACGGGGAGAGAAGGGCAAGAGTGTGATGAGACAGGAAACCTGGAGACTAAAGGGGCTGGGGCAGGTCTCAGAGGACTCTGTTTGGGCCTCATCCTGAAGGCAGCAGAGGGCCCCTGATGAGTTTCGAGGAGGCAGATCTGTGTGTGTTTGATGAGGGGTACATGAGCTGCTCGGCGGAGAATGGACTGGCGGACACAAGATAGGGCGCAGGAGGACCAGTCAGTCAGGGGGCACAAGCACAATAAAACGCTGCACGAGGGCAGTAAGAGTAGAGATGGAGAGGAGGGGAAGGATTTCAGGGGCAGTGAGATCTGCAGGGCTTGAAGATGGAGCACCTGAGGGCAGGTGGAATGTGGATGTGTGTCCTGGGGCGGCAGGAACGAGGCAGCCACGAGGACTGGAGGGGTCCCTCCCTCCATGGGCTCCATGGCTCTGGACTCTCCCTCTGCCCCCTGCTACAGTGCAGCACCCACCCAGGGTCTGGGACGTGCGCCCACATCTGTGGGTCTTTCCTGGGAGACTGCAAGCTTCTTGTGGGCAAGGACCAAGCCCTTCTCACTCTGTACAGTGGCACCCCACACAGGGCCTGGGCAAATGCTAGGGAGATGAGCACACTGGGCGGGGCAGAGCCTGATGTTGAGAGGTCCGACTCCTCACTATGGGGTGCTGGGACTTGAGCCAAGGGGTTATTAAAGCAGAAGCTAAAGGTGCCCATGGCAGCATTATTGGATTGGTTGAGCAGTTATCCAGCATCTCCTATGTGTCAGCTACAACTTGTGATTAAAAAAAAGAGCACGTGACAACACATGGTCACAGTCCATCAAAAGAGACAGGACAGATATATTTAATTATGATTATAATAAAGTGTGAATCAGGCCACCATGGAGGTAGTGTCAGGAGAACTACACAGAGGAGGTGCCATTTGAGCTGGGCTTTGAAGGATGAATAGGAGTTTGCCATGCAGAGAAAGAGGTGTAAAGGCATTCAAGGCTGAGGAGAGAGCATGGTCTAAAGCATTGAGGCATGAAACAGGCTGGAGGAGACCAGAGCTACTACTGTGAACTCTTATTTATTCCACAGTTTGTTTCCTCTGCAGCTCAGTGGATGGTCTGAGAGCTCAGACCTGAGCTGACAGCATCCCACTTCAAGTAAGAGCTGGGGGTCTTTCCACTTTCTGCCCCAGGGCATTCTCCAAGCTGAAGTAATGCCCTCAGGGGCAGCCCTCAAACAGTGGCGAAGAGGAGCCTGTGGATAAATGCCTGCTGACTGACTCCAGGCAGGCAATCCTGGACACGTCCCAGAGGTCTCTGGGGGAAGCGGGGCCCTGGCCTCCAGCAGTGACCTTGAGAACACACAACCTAAAGCTCATCTTTATATGGGCATCTCCTCCTCTCCAATCTCACTTCTTACCCCTGCACCACTCTTCCACCCCTGCTTCCTGCCATCACCTTCCAGTTAAACCACCTGCATCTAATTCCTTTCTCAGGCTCTGCTTTAGGGAGAATCCAAACTAAGATGGGTTACGTTGCTGGGGACCCAGGTGGGAGGTACTGTGGTGTAGACGATCACAACTCAGAAAACACACACATTTCTGAGTATCTTCTATGAGCCAAGCCCTTGACCTGACAGGGGGATGCAGAGTTCCTGGAGAGGGCCCCTGGTCGTCCAGACCTCCCTTCTGATTGAGGAGATTGACAGAGGCGCAAGCCAGCAGCACAGGAGGGATCAGAAATGTTTTCCTTCTGCCTTTGCAGCATGTCACGTGGATTGTGGGGGGCAGATTGATGTTCCTAATTACATTTGGCTCAAGCTGATATTAAGTATTTGTCTCATTCCCAGAGCCCACAACGCCGGTGGATGGCGGGGAAGGTGCCAAGAGGCATGCTGGGTAGCTGAGGATGACAATCTGGGACTTTAAATACCCACCAGAGATAAAGGTGGACAAGTCACAGCCATGGGGGAAGGGTGACTAGTGTTCTTGAGACGCCCTTTAATGGCTTCCAAGGGCTGGAGGGGCCTTGGGAAGGTTTTGAGTTCCATCCTCCCGTCCTGAGGCTGACCACCACAACGGTGCAGACGGAATGTGACCACTTCTGATGCTGGACAGCTCGATGAGAGGACATGCTTTTGTGGGTCCAATTTAAATTTCTTCTGCTGCTGGTTGAAGCTTTATTTTGCTTGATTTGTTCTTGGCAGCATTAAATATTCGCCGAGCACCTACTGTGTGGCCAGGGTACACTGGAGGAGAAGGCACACCCTTGTGCTCAGGCAACTGGCTGGCTCACCATCTATACAACAGGAAGTTCATGGAAACAAGACCAGACACTCAGACCCAAATGCAACGGGGGGACCCATGCGGGCTGGATGGAGCTGTCAGGGGTGTGTCGAGGGATGTGGCCATGAGAGGAGGGGAGTGTTTGGATTAGTGCAGAAGAAGGAGGAGGGCATTCTTGGCAGGCAAGCAATGTGGTCAAAGGCAGGAGATCCAACTTGGGAACACACCTAGGACAGGGCTGCACAAAGGAGATGCCTGAGGCCTGCAGCAACACTTGATCCTCAAGAGATTCAGTAAGTCACTCAAACTCCTCACGTGCGAAACCAGGACTGACGGTTCTCCAACTACCTCCCAAGACAGGTGTGAAGCTCAAATAAGGCAGCAGGTGTGAGTGGCCCTGGGATTCACAGATCCAAAGCACAGTGCTGTGCTTGATTTAAAAAGACTTCTGTTCAAGTCCTGGCTCCGTCACCGCGTGATCTTGGGCAGGTCTCCTTCCCTCTCTGAGTCTGTTCACTTATCAGCAAAATGAGGATGGTAATTCCTTCCTCATACTGTTGCATTTAGGATTACAGGAGAAAATGTCAATAAAAATAGCATGATGATCCACAAAGCGCTCTACAGATGCTGATTACGCTATCATTATTGCTCTAGTCCAAACAGTGGGCTCCCTGAAGGCAGGCATCCGATCTCCTCTCCGTTCCCCCAGCACCTTCCACGGAGCAGGTGCTCGAGTCCCACCATGTCGACGACGTCGTAGTTCATGGCGTTGCGTCTTCGCGGTGGAGCAGGAGGCTGGCACTTCCGGGCTCGCCGGCAGACCGTGATGCGTGGAAGATCCCCACCCCCCGCCTCCATCCCCGCTAACCCCACCCTCCTGTCTCAGCAGTTCAGTATCTGCCGAAACCGGTTCTGCTCAGGTACTCTCGAGCAGGGCTTCCTTCTCAAGGCCTGTGGGGTCACCTTCAGGTGACTGTCCGTCAAGTTCCTGCAGCAGCTCCGGGATATAGTGACCCGGATCAGGATTAGTACACCACAGAGCACGCGCCTGTGTTCCCCCAGAGCAGCGCTGCACCCAAGGGCAGTGTGGACACACTTAGGGCAGGGCCCGTCCTGTTTCTGGAGCGCAGCTTTCATAACAAGGGGTTCCTAGAGAGCTTGCGGCGACGTGGAAAGAGCGGGCGCCAGGAGAGACGCCTGGGGCCAGTACGGCTGTGTGCCCTTGTCTCAGTCACTTCCCACTCTGGCCCTCAGTTTCCTCTGTAAAATAGGCGACGATCCCCGCTGGGCCAGTTAATCGCGGGAAGTAGATTCAAACGACTGCTTACACAACCCCGTCCCGCGACCCTGTGCCCAGGGGTCTGCGCGAGGCAGGGGTGCTGGCACAGCTGCGGGCTTGCGGCTGCCACGCTCCTCTCTCCGCCTGCCGCGCGGCTCTCGCGGCCCACGGGCCGCCTTTGCGAACCTCCAGGGGGCGAGCCCGGCGGTCCTCTCGGCCCACGCGGCGCCTGGGCCGTCTAGCGTGTGACTTCACCAGCGTCCCGGGGCCAACGGGGCACCGAGAGCCCAAGTCGCCGCCCACTCCCCCAGCCGGCAGGTGCCAGGACCGAGCCTCGCCCAGCCGCGTGGCGTCCGCGGGCCTGAAGGGGTTAAGGCCCCGGGCCTGGGCGCCTGCCCCGGGCTCCGGGAG